CACGAGGGGATATATTGCCAAAATATGGATGTGGAAATATAAATCTGCAAATAAAACTGTACTTCCTGTTGGGATATGGACGGTTTGATGTCTAACTGACTGTGGCTTCTGCTTCCACAAATGCAGATCGTTGCTCTGAGAAAGTTCGGTTTTCTCTTTAATTAGCCACACTTGGTCTGAGTGAAAGGTTTGTGCCCAGAGACTGGACTCTGGAGACCGTCCTCTGGCCTTCTGGGGATTGAGGAGATTAGTGACCTCCACTGAGGATCTACGTCTGCAGGAGCCTCCAGAAACTGACAACCTATCACACCGTGGATCTCTTTGGAGCCCACCTGTTCCCCAACTTGATGTGTTGTAACACATTGGCGCCTCTGTGGATGGCAGAAAGGCGTAAACAATCTTGAAACTGTCAGTCAGGATCAAAGTCGCATCAAACAAGCATTTAAAATCTCCTTAAAAAAGCGTGAACCCGTTAACAACATGGATGTTCTCAGTTGTCCTGAACCCCCATTAGGGTCGCTGAGTTGACCCTGTGTGACAGGAGGCTGGTGGGCCAGACCCTTATCCTCTCGCTCAGCAAGAACTTTTTATTCTTAAAGATGACACTCTGATGAACCATGACACCTGCCTGTTCGAGCCTACTTAAGAAGGAGCAAAACAGTTTTTAGACTGACCTGCTGACCGCTTGGTGAATGTGGCCCCTTCAAGGCCCCTTTAACCCTTTAACTACCAGACCAAGAAAACATCTATGGAAAAATTAATTGTTTGCATTTTTTTAATCAAATGGGACACAAATAACCACTACCAATTGGTCGAGCTGGCCTTTTATGGTAAAAGTGCATTTTCAACAATCATCACATTACAGTATTTGTATGCATCAAACTCAAATAAAACACAAACTCAAATACATGTTTTTCTTTTATGGAAAATGAGCAATATATACAACCAGATATATTCATGAAAGATAATAAATTATAATTCTAAAAAAAAAGAAATGGAAAAAAGTAATGTTAAAGGCTCGGTAATTTTGGAGAAACCAGCTCGAATGCGCTAGAATTTGAAAATACACAACCGTAAAAAATCTGCCACTTCCTTAAAGAGCCTCTCCTCTTGTTAAAACTTTTTTTGTTCATCAAGTTATCTAATTATGTTCAGTCAGTGCTCTGACACTAAAATATGTCAAAAATGATATGATTACCTTACAAAAGTTGACCAAAAAGAGTTATTTCTTCAGCAGTGATTTTTAGCATTGTCAACTTCCTCAGTGGAAGCTAGCTGAAGGGCATTCTGTTCGAACCACAGTGACATCTAAAGGTTGTTTTGTGCATAACATGTCAACCAAATGGTAGAGCTGGCTGAATCAGATGGAGTAAAACTTTTTTAAAAATTCAACAAGATATCAAGACACAAAATGTGCTCTACCAAATGGTGGCGCTGGCTGTTAAAGGGTCTTTGGTTATCAATTACTGAATTTACTGAGTCACAGGGCAGATACACAAATGAAGCTTACCTTTCATTCAAATTGCACGATTGGATATTTGGCATTGGTGGAGTCAATTGTATAAATATAAACGAACCAAGTGAATCACCCTTTCCGTGTTGTTAGAAAGTCAATTTATTAAAACAATGGTTATTTTTCGCATTTAGGGTCACAAAGTATTCACCAGCAGGGGATGGAAGGCAGCGAAATGCTCCTGAAATAGTTTGAACTTATGACTACATGTCATTTGCAAAATCAAACATGTTTGCTCACTGTGTTGCTGGAGGTAAGTTGAGAAGATCCACACCACTCATGAGACATGAGAGTGCTATCAATCTTCTCATTAGCTCTTGGCAAGAAATAATAAAACAGTGAATAAGTGCATTTCCCAAGGTATCAAACTTCTATTTACAGTGGCTAGAAACAAATGCATTTGAGAACAGGCAAAGTATGGGGCCATTGTATTGCGTCATGGAAAACCCAATACATTTGGAGTTTTATTGATCACACTGATCCATGCTGAGAAAATAGGTCATTGCAGTAATAGTGTTGGACACTATGGGTGCACCCGACCCTCTCAGGACCCCACAGAGAGGAAGGAGATGAGGTAACGGGAAGAGAGAAAGATTGTGGGAGAAAGAAGAGCTAGAAAGTTAGAGACAAAGGAGGAGAAGGTTAGGCGAGTATTTACAGGAACACAGGATGTTGAACAGATTAAGTTCGGCTCTGTTCTGAAATACACAGTTTATTCAATAATGATCTATTATAAAAAATGTACAGATGAGGTGCATTGGGGACAGGTAACTAATGTGTATGCTGACAAATATGTATTGTTGTGTGGAGTACATTGTATGTAGGGATCCAAATTGTTTTCAGTTAGTTCATTTCTAAATGTTTTAAGATTAAACCTTCAAGAACCTAGTCTCACTTTAGAGGACGTGCTTCCCTGACCACCTGGACACATACCAGACGGTTTGAATGGTGCCTCACTTAAGCGTTCAATGCCCAGCTGTAGAACACCTGGCAAGATCTGGGCTTCCACTTAAAATAGCAACCACATGGTATTGTATATTAACAGTGCCTGTTTCTGATAGAACAGATGAGACAACCGATCAGATATTTACTCCTCTGATCTTCACTATCTCAATTCAAATCTGCTAAACCGTTTCTCATAACAATTAGTTTTGAAATTGACTTCAAATGTCTTATAATTTGTAAGACCACAAATCAGAGCAGCCATAAATCCAAGTGAGGAAGATATATAAAATGTGCTCATCTTTTGAGGATCCATGTGGCATATTTAAACGACGCCTCCTGGTGTTACATCAGCCAAGTTAGCAATGTGATCGCAGTTAGTAACTTAATCCTTTCCTGCCAGCATGACACATATTAAAGAGTGCTAGATCTTGGGTCGATATAGTTGCTTTCAAAAAAATATGATTTGGCCATTTGAGGGCAGCAGAGACAAGTTGTGAACGCTGCAAGGACATATCACCACCTTTAAAGGCACAATGATCTGTCCTGAATATTAAATAAAAGGCAAGTAACTTTAAAAGATTATAAAGCACAATGAACTACATTCAGATAATAATTCTCTGTTAGTTGTTTACTTCAAATTAAGAAATTGTGGTTCAATGCTTCTGAATAGCCTCATAATCACAGGAAACTGCCAGGTTTGTCGCAATTGCTCTTCCTTGCTTATTAATGCTCTTTCAAGGTGGTTAAATGCACCTCACACTGTGGGAACAAGCTCTGTGGCTGCCAGGCTTGGGTGGCTATGCAAGAGGATGCCAGTCATCAGTAGTACCACTGGGCACATTGCGGAGGTTAATTCACACTTTACTTTAATTATATAGTGATTTACACAGGATGCTGCACTGGTACACATTAAACTTTATAACCCTTGGTGTTGCGCTACCCTATGATATATCAAAATCCCCGCCTAAAACATCTAATGATCACTGCAGTCATTTACTAGCTCCAGGTCTTCTTCCTGTTCCATATGAGGTGGCATCAGTTTAACCCTTGTATGGTGTTCATATTTTTGTTAATCAGCCAGTGTTTGTGGGTCTGGTGGACCTGCTGCCCTTTTTGGCTTCAATTCAACACAATCAAACTATTTTATGTTAAAATACTCAACAGATGTTTACTTAATCTCAATTACAAGCAACATAAACAGCAAATATGGTTAATGTTTGCCCTTTTACATTTGTTAGATCACATTAATGAATTAAAGTGCTACTTTTGCCCACTGACTGGCTGGTCCTGTGGCTCGTCTTTCTTTTTTATCTAGCTGATGCTCAATCTCTTCCTCTTCTTCAAAGTCACTGTCAGACTCAGAATTCTCAGAAATGTGATCCTCTGAAGCCTCTTCATCAAATGGTTCACTCTCTTCCAGAATCATATGCAAGGCCCTCTGAGCAGAGAATCTTTTGGCCATCTTGATCAGTTGTGATGAGGACCCAAACTGGCAAAGCTTTATTTATTGTGTCTTGCCCCAAATGTGCAGCTTGGATAGAGTGTGAACAAAACATAATGCGGAAATGTGAGAGCAGAAAGGCGTCCGTGCTTGAATTTATCAACAATGTTGCAACCTTGTGCTGGAATGGCAGTGGCAGAAACACAAAAGTCTCACACACACACACACACACACACACACACACACACACACACACACACACACAGAAGGCCCAGACAGTTAAAGTATTTTCCAGTGATTCGGCCCTCATACATTTATCAGTATGTGTTCAGTTGAGATTTCATTATAGTTCAGTTTGTGTTTACTCTGCCACAAAGTCCAATTTAGAATCACAGTGAAAGACGTTGTGATAGCAGAACATCCATCACCAAGCAGACACCTCAAAGTCTGATGCTGAGGATGAGGAGGACCTCTGTTTGACACAGAGCCTGATACAGCAGTAACATTTTTTTTGTATCATGGCAGCCATTTCTGGTAACACAAACTACAGAGTTAATCCCACTAACCAAATCTAAATATGTTAGCATGAATATATCAATCTTATAATTTAAAATGACCACTACAGAGCTGAAGAACCAGCACCTTACCGTGGTAGAGAGGTTTGTGTGCCCTGATGAACCTGGGGGCTGTGTTGTCTGGAACCTTGTGTTCCTGGTAGGGTCTCCCATGGCAAATTGGTCTCAGGCAGGGGTCAGACTAAGATTGGTTCAGAAGACCTCATGAAAGACGACCACACGAAGTGGGATAGCCGGCCCGGAGGAAGGCCCGGGTCCCCTTCTGGAGCCCAAAGCCCAGAAGAGGAGGACTCCTCGGCGAGCCCGNCACACACACACACACACACACACACACACACACACACACACACACACACACACACACACACACACATACACACACACACAAACTCTGTTCAATATTTCAAAGTCTTGAAATATTGAACAGAGTTTGTGTGTGTGTGTATGTGTGTGTGTGTGTGTGTGTGTGTGTGTGTGTGTGTGTGTGTGTGTGTGTGTGTGTGTGTGTGTGTGTTTTTCAGAGCTTGATGGACGACTTCAACCCAAGTCTACAGAAACTTGTCTCACTGGGAAACAGCTACGTCCATGCTTTCCAGGGTAAGAAAGAACATCTCCCCATGAGACTTTTTACTTTAAGGTCATTTTTGCACCGTTAAAATGGCAGTAAATGAACCAACCTCTAATGGCTTTACATGGAAGCTGTCGGGTCAACTAGACCTAATTCAAAGTCCACATGCTTTGGTATTATCCTGATGCTATTATCGCCTTTATTATGGGCCTGTAACCCAGAGGTCGTTATAAATAGCTTGCAGTATATTTTCACAAACAAACAATGCACCACAACTACAGGATATCTTATTCTCACATACAGACGCAGGGATACTGAGTCTTGAAATTGTACCTCTGCTCTATTTGTGACTAGTGTTTCATTAAACCTGAAGGCATATTAATTGTGTCTATATTTTATGTCTTCATTTTTAACATATCTTCTAATCCCTGTGCAGTGCATTAAATGGAAAATGTTGTCATGCAAATTAAGTTCAATGACAGTAACATTTATGGTGAAGCTTTTAACATTATTCAACATCATAGTAGGTGTTTAATATGTGCAAGAGCAGTAATGATACATCATCAAATACACCATAGGAGCGCCGCTGCACCAGAAGCCCAGCAGACATAAAGTACAGATTATTATGTGTCCCAGAGTCTATAAATCCCCTCCCAGAGTCTGCAGGGAAGTGCAATAAATACATGGCATTTTAATAAGCTAAAGCTCAAACCGAAACGAAATCAGTGTTTGGATTCTACTGAAGCATCTTCTCTTTCTAATAATAATCAACTTTTTAAATCGGTAGTGGATGTTGCTCAGGATCTCCCATTGTTATTAAAGTACCATCACATTGATTTTAACTCTTGATATGTATTAGTCTCACAGCCTCTGGGAGTGCTTGATTTGTTGGTTTGTACTGGCTGTATCCCCATTCATTAAAAACAAGTCATTCTCACCTTATTAAAAAATGCAGCTAAAGCTTAATCACCTCCGCTGCGCTGTTTCCACTATGGTAGAAAAGAGCTAAATACAGAACATTTAAAATGTACCATATAAAAGACCAGCAAACCCCTGCTTTGGGATCTAAACCAACAAACGCAGATAGCAGTAACTAGAAAAAATGCTGGAAGAAATTTATTTAGGCTTTAAAACATTCAAAGAAGATTTAAATCCAAATTATAAATTATTTTCAATTAAATACATTACAATGTCATTTAAAAGAAACCCAACCACACTAAATCTAATCATGAATTCACTAGTTAAAACCTATGCCATTTACTTAGCTTACTCTGCTAAGCTAGGCTAGTTAGCTTTAGGCAGGACTAGTTTAGCTGTTTTTGTTCTCAATGACTGGATTTAGCTACAATATTATTTGTGTGGGATAACAAATCCCCAAGATGTTAATTCATCAATATGTATATATTTAATTCAAGTAGGCCTACAAAGCGACAGCAAATAATATACATTTACTGTAGTTTGAGCGAAGGCTAGCCGCTAGCTTCCCCTAGATTTGGCACTCCTGTTAGTTTAGTAGTAATTTGAAATCATACATTTTTGATAGATTAAATCAGATTGTCTTTTGTAGAATTAAGAAGGCTCCTCATTCAGTAGGGTTAGGGTTACTGCATTTTGGGATATGTAAAGGGATACACTAGCCGAGTAGACATTTAACCATAATAGCAGGTTGTCTAAATGCACAATGTGATTTTATGGGAAGGTGTATAAAAAGCATACCACTTTAAAGGACATTTTGGGGGTCATTTAAGATGATATTGTGTCATAACCACCCATATGTTTGAATTCAAAACTACTTGATTAGGTTTAGGAAAAGATAGTTTGGATTAAAATACAAAGGCTTTTTATTTTACCCCATCCTCTGGTTTAGATGGACTTTCTCACTCTTTATACTTTGTTACCTAAAATAGCACAGGGAGAGCCAAACATGCGTAGAGATAACAGACAAAATGACTTTAAAAATGGTATGTATTTATATGCCATAATATGATATCAGGCAAAAATGATAGCAAGGGAGGAAGGCAAAGAAAGATTTAATGGTTTATTTAATCGAAATAAATATGATTTTGATTTTATACTCCTGCTTATAATTAAACATATTATCTAATTATAACATATGCTCTCATGATTAATGGCTCTGTGTAGCTGCTTTTGTAGTTCTATGCCAGGGGAAATTATTTGCAACAAACACGTTTGCATTTCAAATTGAGACAGACTGTGTTTGTGTGTGTGTGTGTGTGTGTGTGTGTGTGTGTGTGTGTGTGTGTGTGTGTGTGTGTGTGTGTGTGTGTTTCAGATCTGGCAGTAACCAGTGAGGCCTACTTCGGTGCACTTTCAAAGATTGGGGAGAGGGCTTTCCACACCATATCCTCACGCTCCCTAGGTACGTGTGAACATGTTTACGCTCAGCTGGCTTTTGCAACCTCCCACTTAATGAGCAGAAACACAAGGAAGGTATCTTCTGTTATCTACAATCCAGGATGTGAGCGTTTTGTCTTTGATGTGTTTATTGCCACTTATTAAACTATTTCAACATTGTTCTTCCGCATCATGAAGACCAACCCTCTGGCGATACTCTACTTTTACAGTAACTAAGACACAGTGAATGCATAGTGTGTGTGTTATTAGCATACTCTTTGATGTGTAAGTGTGTAAGACTTAGTGTAACACTTGTTGTATGTTACAGTATATAACTAGCAATGGCTTGTGCCCTGCATAAGGCAACACAGCTTATGTTTGAGTTTGTTTTTCTGTGACTTCAAACAAAGATGTTGGATCAGGTATCAGAAGCCCGCCGGCAACATGAATAAAAGATGATGACTGGCAGCCGGCCGTGCTCCGCTCACTTAACCCAGCCACTCTAAACGGGAGTCAAGTAAGGCTTAGTGGCTGGGGTTGAAGATTTTGTTCAAACTGGAGATTAGTGTACTGTAACAGTGCTGTTTCACTACAGGAAAGGGATCCCAGTGTGCATTTCATAGCCATTGACAGGTCGAACTAAACAACTCCAACATACATTCTCCAGAATATGATGGCAAAACGTAATGGTCAAACTGCTTTAAAAAAGGATTTATGCTTTTATCATATGTTTAGGTATTTTTCTGCCCCTAAAAATGACCTAAACATACAGTATATATATATCTAAGCACAGTGTCAAAGCACTTGGCATTTACCAGTAGCAGTTGCGTCAAAAGACTATTTGGAAACTCATTGATAATGATCACACCATAAAAAATGACAGCATCAGATAACACCCTCATAGGTCAGAAACATTAACACAGAACAAAGGTAGTCTAAAAATACAGAGTAAGGAGGAAACTGGATTTAGCCACTGTAGTAAAAGTGTATTTAACTTTCAAAGAAGTGACACTGCACCCCTTCAACCAGGAAGAAATGAAGTACCACCAGTGACACATTAACATAAAGTCTACCCGAGTAAAAATTCAAACAGCAAGACATTTAACAGTTAGCCCAGCAGTAAATTAGCAGTTGTATTAGCGACACGTTAGCCTCAGACAGCTAGTATAGCAGCTAGCTTTGTTAGCATTTAGCTGCTTTGATACAATTAAATTAACAATGTAACAGTAAGTCTACAAGAGTTAAAGACTAAACAGCATGATACTTATTAGTTAGCTTAATAGAAAAGTATCTGTTATATTAGCAACATGTTAGCCTCAGACAGCTAGCAGAGCATAGCTTCGATAGCAGTTAACTAGGATAAAAATGACATTAAGAAATCACAAACATTTAAAAACAGCTCTGGTTTAAGTCTCTCAGGTATTAGCATTACGCTTGATCGCTGAGTATCTAAAACTTTTTTTTTTTAACCCGTTTCCCAAGTTTCTGACTACCTGGTTGCAACATAGGAAATGGGTTTTAGATTTTTTATTATTATTCTGCCGTAGTGCAGGATATTAGTCATCCATTCTTTGAGGATTTGTGAAGTTGAAAGACAAGAAATCTCCTGTGGTTTTGTGAATCTTATAAGGGAACAGAGACAGAGGAAAAGGCAGAGAGGCTGCTGGGAACTTATCAATATATCAATATGAAATATACTGTATGTGCTTGTGGAGACAAATGAGATTTTTAACGACCCAACACACATTCAGAATTTGAGAAGACGCTTTCAGGGAGACGGTTCAGAATATTATATTTGAAGTTAAACTAATACAACAATTCCATCAAAACAAGAAACAGGTATGATATGCTTTGGTTTTATCGGGGACTAATATATTGTTAATAATTATTGATGATATGGTACGATTTTACCTGGTTTTAGTATTTGACACTCTTGACTTTCATTAATTTTTATTACTATATTATTAATATTACAAGAACTACTGTTACACACTCAACATGTGCATTTAAGCCTATGTCCTCAGCATGTATGTGCAAGAGAAATGTCCATGTAGAACAATGAAGGACATGTTATCTTATCTGAAACTGCAATAAAAAGCATCTTCTATTTTTAGAGACAGGGTGTTCCCTGTAGTCTGTTTAAGACATTAGGGTTATTGATTGATTTTGGGTAATGAGTTGATGGAAATGAACAAGTGGAAAGATTATATGATCCTATTACAAAAGGCTACATAATACTGTATATCATATTACATTTTTATTGTTTTGAAGTTATGTATTAAAGTGGACCTATCATGCTATATTTGAATAATATAGTGTAGGACCATACCTATATAAGGCATATTTATACTTTTTATTTTTCAAAATACCAAACAGATCATGCATTTTAGCCATTCCTCATTTCGCTCAATTTAACACTGTCTTTGCATCATGGGCTGATTCTGTGAGAACAGCACCATCTACAGGCCTGGCATATGTACTACAGCGTCTCCAGCGCTTTCCAACGGCAATGTCCGTGGCTGTCTCCTCCTGATTGGTGGAGTTGGCCCAATAGCCGTAGCGCCACTTCTGTGACGTCATAAATCTGGATCAGTCTGTATCAGATCCGTTGCAGCCCCTTTTTAAGAGATTTGGGTATGGAGGAAAATAGAGAGGGTTGTGTTTTCTGACACTTGGTGAGTTCCCTGGAACACCGGGGACACATATTCATGTATAAAAGACGTACAAAAGTGCATTTTGCATGATAGGTCACTTTAAGTGATATTATTGATGTAACATGTACAGTAATGCGCTTGTGTTAAAGGGGATGTCCTGATTCAGATCTCTGAGAGCCAAAGAAGAATCACTGTGGAGTTGGATGGAGTAGTAAGTACCATTAATACTAGTCTTATCTATCCATCACGACTTGTTATCGTGATCAAACTCTGATTTTCAATTTTCTAATGTGTTTTATATATTTTTGTCACTTTCCAGTTCCGCTGGTTCTCTATGGAGGTTCTTCGGGAGATGGACAACAACATTAGAAAGGACAGAACTTACATATCAGTGAGCAATCTGGTCTTCTAAAAACACAATGTTCTCATTCAACGAAATGCCATTGCCAATTGTGTTTGTCTAGCTAAACATATCAAAGTCAAAGTCAACTTTAATGTCAATCTTTCAGTTTGTGTGCACGGACAGAGAGATCGAAATGACGTTTCCAACAATCCCAAATACAATTATACAATATACAGATATGTATAAAAATATGTATAAAATATGTATATCCTATATACACAATCAACAGACACATTTACACACATTAGGTTAAAAAACACAACAATCAATATATACAAAATAACAGTCACTTCAATATCAATATTATCACCCAGGTAATGTTTGTTTATGGCGTATCACAATTATCGTATCTTTACCAAACCAAAAAGTAACGGTATGTAATGTATTTTACTTAGTAGCCTACATACCCTGAGTCACATGACAACACTCAACCAAAGTCAGGATGTTCCATTAAAGCTAAGCAAGTNACACACACACACACACACACACACACACACACACACACACACACACACACACACACACACACACACACAGTTATGCTGATCTTGAGGTCTCCCTCTGACATGCTAACACCTGAGCATTGTACACTGACTGTACAGTAAGTGTCAGCTAAGGATGTTTGGCAGAACAGGGCATTAATCTCTCAACAACTATGAACTCATTGCAAGATCCTGCCTTCAGAAACTTGTCTTATGTCTTTTTTTGACTGTCAGTTTTGTTGTCCTCAGCAGCTGACTGCAGGTTCCTCCTTGGTCTTTGACCTGCTCGCTTAGCAGCAGCGTAATCTTAGTAGCAGCTGTCCTCCACACTGACAGCACGAGACGTGCCGCTCTCTTTCAGCCAGACAGTCTAATCTCCTCACTTTCTCTGTAAAAGGATGGCTTTCTTACAACCATAGGTGTGATGATCAATTGTTTGTTTAAGGTATACTTCAAAACATCCCTTCACCAACTCTCACTCTAATTTTTTCCAGTCATATGCTCACCAAAACATTTCATTTTTGAATTTTAAAAAGACGTCTGCATAAGCACTCTCATGCTTGCGCAGGTGCACTCCTCATCCAGACGACTTTAAACAAGTTAGACTTGTTTAAGAAAGCGATATTTTAGTGGAAATGTGTGGTGGTGGTGAGCATACGACCAGATAAAGGACATTTCAATTGAACTGCAGAGACAGTTTTAAAAAGATATTTCGAAATAGTTTAGCTGTTGTTTGTCTCGGCCCTCTCATACTTAAATTCCTCCGGGCTTTTCTTGTCCCATAGAGGCATGCAAGGATAATTCAAAGACACACACCCGTGTGTAATTGATATTTAAATGATCATTTTTGGGTCAAATATGCCCTTAACAATGATCCTTCCTTAAACAACAAAACTTGTTATGCAGTTAAGACTAGCACTAGAATATATGGCTGTGAGTGACGTTGTGCTGTGAGGTTTCTGAACAATGCCTACTGTATACCGCATCCATTATCACATTATCCACTTTAACAAGAAGACTCACACCACAGAGGGATCAGAAAACCTCACTCTCGCTGGGCTGCAGTGCAAACACAGGGATAACTGCAGAGCTGAAGCTATGTCGTGGGGCGTCTTTAGGTGGAGGTGGGGCAGAGCAATGACTGTGTTCAGTGTTTGCTGCTGGACGGGTGACAGTTGGGGTCAGAGGTTTACTTTCCCTCAACTCTGTCACTCTCCCCGGACTGGCTTTCGAAAGGCTCAAAGAAGAGGTTTGATGAGGAGGACTCGGAAGCACCGAGGCATCTGGCAGCAGCGGTGGCCCTTCCCTCCACATCCTGAGGGCCAGCAGAGCTGCTCTGTGGCGGCTAGAGGAGGAAAACAAGGTGCACACTGTGATCTAAACACAGGCCGAGGGGGGGGGGGGCGGTTTAGGTTACCCCTTTGCTAGGTGTGTTGCCACAGAGCAGCTCACTGTGAAGAGCAGCAAGGTGGAGGAGGGGAGATGTGGTGCAATTGTAAGTTTATACATAACAAAGGGTTTTAATCAATAAAATAGGAACATGTTAGTGAAATCCCCAAACTCTCCTAATAAATATTTTTTCTGATGCTTGTACTGAAAGTGGGTTCCAGATGCTCTCACACTAACATCAGAGCTCAGGGAATTTGTCAGGGCCCACATTAGCTCACACTGACTTCCTTACTAGTATGATTCTTCTGGCCTCAGTGTACATTAAGATAAATGTGCTTTACATTATAGTTAAGCAAAGTCTCGCTGGCAGGACAAAAGTCATCTTCTGTATGACCCTTTTCTTAATGGCGGTGATTAGTGAAAACTAGAACATGTCTCTGGAGAGGAGGTGTCAGTTAGTAATCATTGGCGTAACTCATTTTCAAAGAACAAAGGGATTTCTCTGAATGGGTAAGATGCTGTTAATTGTTGCCAGACTACACAGCTTGTAAAACATTGCTCTTACACACTAGCTCCAGACAAGATGAAGTGACAAGATGTTTCCCCATGTCGTTCCGTAGGGCTCTATTTGAACAAACAGTATTGGCAAAGTTTGAAATAGACATTTTTGGAAATACCCTTATTGGCTTTCTTGCAAATAGTTAAAAATATCTGTACAGTAATTATGAAGCTGTTTTCTAGCTTAGCTAAACAAATGGGCTGTTGGCAATGGCTTTATATTTTCATATCCTTTCAAATAATTTGAGGAACCAAAGCATATCAATACAAAAGAAAAAGGGCACTCAAATAAACACTAAGTATAAATGCTTCATGTAGTTAGAGCCAAACACCACCTCAATCTCAAGGTTGAAAGGAATTCCACCATTATCAATATGTGTTCAAAGGCACTCCACTTAGAATATTTTATGGATATTTTCTAGCCCTAAGCGCATTACATCATACAACTTCTAACTAAACAGGAGAGGGCTCGTCCGGGATTTGAACCCGGGACCTCTCGCACCCTAAGCGAGAATCATACCCCGGCCTAGACCAACGAGCCATTTATAAATGCTATACACTCAGATATTTTCTTTTGGCAGTTGTGAGCAGTAGCGAGGTGGTTTTCAAAGTGAAAAAGAATGCTCATACCCAGACTGCTATCCGGATCTACTCCAAAATGTATTGGATTCTTTTTTGGCCCATGCTTTACCCTTCCAACAAGTTTCATGAAAACCTACCCAGTATTTTTCCCGTAATTCTTCTGTCAGACAGACAAACAAACCAGCGAAACCAAACCTAAACATAAAACCGTTGGCTGAGATAATTAGTGCTGAATAAGCTGAGCTAAAATAAAATGAGAATATATGATACAAATTATGTAATCATTCACTGTGAGTTGTTTAGTTAGAAATACAGATTAGAATACAAAAGTTTAGTTTTCTCCATTTACTTAAAGATCCTCAGAATGATACTAATGGATTGGGCTGATTGTTTGACATATTGTTTAACATTAATCCTTATTCTGTTTGGATGTCTTGGCAGAAAGTTCAATCACCATCTTTTGAGTTGGCTGCTAAACAAGACTGCAATCAGATAGATTTTTCTTTTTTTAGCGAGAAAATGAACAGTTTACAAAAATCAGCAATGGCAAAGGAGACAATTTGAATTTAGAAAAATAGTTCAGCATTAGTTGTAGCCTCCACTGATGGCCTTTAAGTTTCTTTGTGTGAGATGAGTCTATAGGACTTTAATTAATTAAAATAAATGAAACCCCTACAGAAGCAATTTCCATTAGTAGAACAGCTGACCAGAGATTTCCCTGTTGGCTTGGATTTTCACCCAAAATCTCTGCTTAGTTGCTAATAAATAGAGAGGATTACAGGTGCAATCATTTGGACAGTGAGTGGTGAGGTATTAGCGACCGGGATAAGCTGGATTTAAAATGAAATAACCGGGCAGGCCTACTGTAACACAGTTGTATCTACTGAGAGCAGAGGGGAGCAGAGCTACTGTAGAGGACAGCAAGGATTCATGCCTTGGCATCAAAATAGAGGCCATGGAAATTACATTGAAGGGTTTTCCTATGAAGGTGGTAAATATTCCTTGGAGGAATAATAACCTCAGTACTGTGAACACAGAGCCACCCCTGTCCGAACAAGGAGAAACTATCATTGGAATATATCTGTTAGTGTTGGGTAAGTCAAACATCATACACTGAATTTAATGTGACTTGAAATGTCTTTTTTTGCATACTCATTAAAATGCAAATCAAAAACATTGCAAGCACCATAGATGAATGTCTATGAAACTGATATGTGAAGTACTGACAAACTTCTTGAAATATATCCTCTTAGTGTTCTGGCTTCCATAACTCTGTAGTGCAAGAAAAAACCCCAAATAGTTTTGTCCTTTTAACCCCTCAGGACAAACACTAGCAAGAAAGAGTAACAGAAGAGTCCAAATGTTTCCAAGAGTCCCGCTGTCACAGACAGTCTGGCACTGTCCACGTCCACTAATGCAGGCCAGGGATTTTGTGTTATTTAGACTGAGCTATAAAAAGAAATACAATTATCTTTGGTTCTTGCCACTTTTACTAAAATACAAAATAGTCATGCTTTCTGGATCTCTGTTCCATATCTTCTTTATTAAGTTATCCTACTCCTCTCTACTGCATTGTGTACTGCTCTATTGAGTTATATAATGCCACGCTGTACTGCATTGCCCTCCACTAAGTTAGACTTTTTGGACTGTACTTCAGAATCATCTTTAATGGTCAGGTATGTGTACATATGCAAGAACTTTTTTTTAGTCAACATACTTTCACATGAATAGACATTAAAGCTTGGTCAAGGAGAACAAAGCTGGGGCACTTTCTTATACTATTCACTGTTATCTACTCTAGACTCCATTGTTACCATACTCTCCAGCATTATACTATTCCATAATATACAGTACCATAACATACAATAATACTATAATATAATATAACACAACACACTATACAACACTTTAACATAATATACTCTACCACATTGCATGATTAAATTGATTTGTATTATTGTGTCATGCATATAACTAGGTTGTGCTGATCCTGACACCCAGCCCATGCCTGCCTGAATTGCCAGAATGGGAGCAAATCTTTGATGCATCAAACATCGTGTAGCTCTTTTCTGTATGCTGTCTACAATTTTACATTCTTTCAAGCACCATATCACTGGTTACTCACTACACCCTCTACTTTGTTCTACTTTACTTAAGTATACAATGAAATGATGTGGTCCTTTACTAAACTATAATACTATACTATAATGTGCTGCACACTGCTATACTACAGTATCCTATACTATCCTATGCTATACTATCCTATAGTATACTGTACACTACTATTCTATCCTATACTACACTGTAACATACTATACAATAATATATCCTATACTTTATAAGAATAAACTATAAAGGACTGCACTATACCACAATATACTATACTATAATGTACACTACCATACTATACTATAAAGGACTAAACTATAAAGGACTATACTATTCTATACTATAAAGTACACTTTTTTATAAAGTAGTGTCTGATGATCTTTAAAAAAATATTTACTATTCCAAGTACTAAAATGTACTATACTATACTAAGCAGTTTAGTGATGTTTGTACACTCCAATAAATTTCACAAATGTATGACTTTAAAGTAGTATTATAGTAACTGTACCAAACAATATGTATGTCCCAAAATATTCACTGACATGCTGTTTGTTTGTCTGTCTGTAGGATGGCTGTCCTGGTTTGGAAACAGTTTAGTGATGTTTATCCTGTACAGGCAACGGGCCTCACTACAGTCCACCGACTTCCTCACCTTAAATCTTGCCATCTCTGATGCCAGCATCTCCATATTCGGCTACTCCAGAGGGATCCTACAAATATTCAATGTCTTTAGGGACGATGGGTATTTGATTACCTGGATCTGGACGTGCCAGGTAAAAGCAACACCAACACAACACTTAATTTAAACGGGTTACATTACAATTATCACTTCATATTTATATGCTATAAATATCTTCCACCAAATCTTTAATCATAATGCAATTTGCAGCATTAACACCAATCAGAAACCTTGATTTGAAATGACTTGAAAGTAATGACTATGCAGAGTTTTAAAAAACAAATGCATCTGCTTTCTTGGGCAAATCCCAATTAATAAAGTTCATTAAAATAATCAGTGCTAGTCTTACAGTAAAGTGAGTATGCATGTGAGAGTATGTGTGTTTGTGTGTCTGTGTGTGCAAAGGATTATGCTAGTAGCCATGTGGGCTGGAGGTTAAATCTGTAATAAGATTACCGCTACGGGGGCCTTTAAATGGGGAAACTCTTCAAGCAGCATGGCACCTGTCAACAACCAAACAGGAAATAAATAAGAGACATGATTGCTGGGTTAAATCAAATGTTCTTACTTTGCTGGATTTTGACATATCATTATATTAAATTAATGAGAGAGTTGTCCTCAAATTCTAAGAATTTCTATGTTCGTTCCACCCCCAGCCTCAGCTTGAAATTAAATAGTTGTCATACTTTAGCCTGGAATTCATTCCAGGGTATTTTTCTTGCTCAAGGCTGGCTGTGGAAACGTTGATATCCGCGAGTGAACGAAAACAAGCTGCTGCAACCAAAACACTTTGAGTCCCAGGAGTGTAAACCCCCGAAATCTGATAGAGAGACATATTTTTTAATTGTGGTCTGCTACTCTTATGAGCTTAAGTAGAGCCATTGAGATGATCTCATCTCTCAGGCATCCAATATCAGGTTTTCAGGTGGAAAATAAATATTGGCATAGCAGCGGCAGTACGCCCCTCTTATTTCACCTTCCCCTGGGAGAGGTGGGCTAAGAGAGAACGAGAGTCAGAAGTAAAGGTAAAGGTAAGAGGGGACAGAAATAGAGGAGGTTAGGAACAGAAAGGTGAAGGAGACAGGCATGTGAGAAGCATTAGCAGATTACTGCATGGAGCATGATGGGACATGAACGGTTGCAAGCTAGGCCAGATCCCTATGGGACAGAACATTATTGAATATGATAGAGCCTTATAGGACGCTTTGAAGTTGCAAAGGGGATACAGGGAAAGAATTGTCGAAACAATTTACAAGGTGAACAAAAATACTTTGAATTTAAATCATTACTTTTCTTATGTTTGTTTCAAATTAACATATTTTCTCATGAGCCAGGGCAGAAACACTATACTGTGAGTTTATCAGAGAAGATCAAATCACATAAGTCCGAGAAGCCACCGTCCTTATGTCCCAGTCCTTCATTATTGTAAAAATAGGGAAGGTGCTGAATGACAAACATGCCCAGACCAGACGTTGGCAGTCCAGTAATCTGGCGAATGTGAGGGGTGAACAAACGTGATGACTGACAGTAATAGGATTAGCACTAAGGAAGATCAAGAGAGTAATCAGAGACCTTAACTGATCCATGTCACCTGAAAATGTCACAATAGGGAGCCGGTTGTTGCACAGTTGGAGCCAGACTGAAACAAAGTCGCATAATTCCCTTTAAGGGGAGCTGTGATTAAAAGATAATCATCCCCATGGACTGATGCTTAGAAAAACTTCATTGTTGAATGCATTGAAGTGACGGCTCACATCAGAGGAAATGCTCCAGGTCTGCAGCATATTTTTCAACAGGCAGGAAGTGCCCTTGAGCTGCAGCGTCTCTATCTGATTAAGTCGAAAGCTAAATAAACTCAACAGACAAAGATGTGAAACAATTAGGCATGCAATGGATCCACACCCGAGGCTTCGAGGAGCAGTCAAAGACATTTCAGAGATGTCGTGTCATGATTCACCAAGGCCTCTCGCTGTGTCTCCTCCAGGTAGATGGCTTCTTTACCCTACTCTTCGGCCTTGCAAGCATCAACACCTTGACCGTTATCAGCATCACCAGATACATCAAGGGATGCCACCCAAACAAAGGTCAGATTTACCCTCCTTGAATTTAAGTGAGAGTGTATAAACAAAGCTTAAGGCCGGAGTCTCTGCCCACTTCACATTCCTGCAGTTCTTATCTGACAGAAAAGTGTGTTTTTTGCTGCTAATGAAGCCTCATTACCGACTTCAGCTGTGGAAATTACTACCACTTGTCTCAAGCAATTTCATTTACATTTCGCAAACGTATCATTAAGTTATCTTGAGGTGACATTTTCTATTTTCGGGTGTAACTGATGCTGAAGAATGTCTTAATTATATGGAAATTAGGTTTAGCAACTGCCTCTGTTGTGAGAAAATGAGTTTTTACTGTGTGACTGTGACTGTTCGTAAAACACAACAATATAAAACCTTTGTATATTGGTATCACATTACATGTTTTATACGGTAGAGTACAACTGCATGTACTTGGCGTAGAGGCTTGGTGTTGGGACCAGGGGGTCACAGGTTCAAACCCCAATGCATGTTGTTGTGTCCCTGGGCAAGACACTTCACCCCAAATGGCTCCTGTGGGGATTGCCCACACTATTGAGTATGTAAGTTGCTTTGGATAAAAGTGTCTAACATGTAATGTAATCTACTGCAAACAGTAACAGATAAGGATACAAATCTGAAAATCAGATAAAAACAACTTAATTTTAGGTCGAAATGAAAGGAAGCCAGGTACGCTAGAAAGGATTTTAGAAACAACATGAGGTAATTCAGAAAAGATGAGTAACCCATGGGAACAAAGCACATTGCCAATCCTAAAGATGATATCCCTGGCCAATCCCCTCAAAAACTGTACTGCACTTCTCATATGTTATATTGACATTAGATATGGGAATGTATTTTCTTTCTTCTCCTGAACACAACGCTTCGTGTACTTTGTCAACAGAGGTTCTTTTCAGTCGCAGATGTTTGCAAAGGCTGTTAATATAAGAAAAGGCAGCATTGTTCAAAAAATGTCACACTCTTCACATTCATAACAAGTCAAGAATGCTGCATCTTGAAGTGCCTCTCACTCTGTCCTGTTTTCTAACCTTTTCCAACTCCCACAATCTGTTCCATAACGTGGGAATATTATATTGTAATGTTCCTGTTGTATTTTTGGCAGCTTACTGTATTAGCGTGAACACCATTGCTGTATCGCTGATCTGCATTTGGACCGGAGCGATGTTTTGGTCTGCTGCTCCACTGCTAGGCTGGGGCAGCTACACAGGTCTGTTCTCACACACTATAACAATGGAAGAAACGAGAATTCAACTTTTGAAAGCTTGGATGTGACCTTAGTGTCTTGTTCTTGTTAGATCGAGGATATGGTACCTGTGAGGTGGACTGGGCCAAAGCCAATTACTCCACCATCCACAAATCCTACATCATCTCCATCCTCATCTTCTGCTTTTTCATCCCTGTGATGATAATGCTCTTCTGCTACACCTCCATTATCAACACAGTGAAAAACACCAACGCCATGACCGCAGATGGTTTCCTTACATCCCGCCAAAGGAAGGTGGAGAGAGATGTCACAAGGGTAAGGGGAAAAAAAGTTGATATCTGTATTTTATTGGAGGGAATTGATTCGAAAAATAAAATAAGACCCTTTAAAGAGCTCTTTAAAAGTGCCCTTTCTGTAATACAGCTCCTCTCATGTTATACTTACAATTATTCCCTCATGTTCCTCTCCAGATTTCCATTGTAATCTGCACAGCTTTCATCATGGCCTGGTCCCCATATGCAGTCGTGTCTATGTGGTCAGCCTGGGGCTTCAATGTGCCAAGCACAACCAGCATCATGACACGTCTCTTTGCCAAGTCTGCCAGCTTCTACAACCCGCTCATCTACTTTGGCATGAGCTCCAAGTTTCGCAATGACATCTCTGTGCTGCTGCCCTGCACACGAGAACACAGGGAGGTGGTGCGTCTGCAGCATTTTAAAAACTTCAAACCTAAAGCTGAGGCCCCGCCCCCAGATGCATTACTGCCTGTCCAGAATCCGGAGGCAAAATATGCCGCAGCCATTCCTGAAAGTGACTCAGGGGTCAACAGCCCTCCCCACACGCCTCCATTTGTCATCACCAATGACCTGCCCTCACACATCGAAACATCAGAGTACTGGTGTGACAGGCTCTGAAGACATTTCACCAAATGCTTGGGGAGATTAAGAGTACTTTTATATATTTGTTTCTTACCCGTGTTAACAGAATGTACTTGTAATCTGTTTTAATAAATTATTTTCTGAATCTCAAGTGGGATTTCACACTTGTTGAATGAAGCAAGGGTTTTCATTTCCAGCTCTTACAATGGCTTTATTTTGCCAAAGCATCAAGGTAAGATTAAACACTTATACAATACAACAATAGTAATATTAGCAATAACACAACATACTGCAGATAAAATACAACAAAATGAAGACTGTCCAAATGTGTGTGTGTGTGTGTGTGTGTGTGTGTGTGTGTGTGTGTGTGTGTGTGTGTGTGTGTGTGTGTGTGTGTGTTTGTGTGTATGTTTTTGACATACTGTCCGGTTGCAGTGCAGCTAAATATACTAGATGTCCATCTCCTTATACGATCTTATGTTTCTGTTTGAAATTAACATGACATTTCTTTAAGGTTTTCCATTCTGATATTATTATATTTGTGGACATAAAACTGATTTACCTGAACGAAGTACTCCACCCCACAAAAGTGCAGCCAGTAATGTAGTGAAACAGATGTAGGATAACATCTGGAAACATTCAACTGTACTCACTGTAGTAGCTTCAGAATCATTCCCTGATTGATGCCATAGGCTACTACACTTTGTCACCTGTAGAAATGTCATTTAACATTTCCATTTACTGAATCATCATATCAAAGGGATGCAGTGTGTAAAAACAAAAAATCTCAAACTCTACTTTTCTATGGGTGTGGTGAATTTTATAAAAATGTTCTGCCTTCAAGCTTTCAATACCCTGTTTGAACAAAACTGAGTTACCCTGAAATAGCAGCAGTTTTTTTTTCAATCAACATCAACCGGCAATTATCTACTTGAGCCATGAAGGTTTAATCTTTAAAAAGTTCCTGAGGTGGTTTCTGTGAATACCATAATCACACGCACAATGAGCTCTTTTACAACAGCTCTTAAGACCTTTAAATCAAAATGCCAATCAGCTTCTGCATAACCATCCATATAATGCATAACTGCTGCAGCCTTAGTGCAAATCTGCATAAAGCAACAGGCTCTCCCTGCATAGACCACAGCAGCAGAAAAAAGCCCCAAACCCCAGAGTAAAGTGATTTAAAGAGTCTGTTTCTCAAACAGGTGTTAATTAGCTGCTTGCTGGAGGAGGGGTGATGACTCTGGTGAGAGTTTACCCCCTGCTTTTACTTTATTTATTTCTCAGTCAGAAGATTTTTGCAGAACAATAAATCAGAAGCTCATTCTTCCCCCCTTGCATAAGAGTCACTATGCAGCTTACAGCCGAATTAAGCTAATTCTATCCTTGGGCATGCTAAAACTTTGTATTTAGCCTACGTGGTAGATTCTCCTGTTTAAACACCATGTCAACCGAACAAAAGGATGCTTGCACCGCTGTGCCGCGGAGTGCCAAGTCTCTGCATCCTCTCCTGATGGCCCCGGGACACTGATCTGCTTTTGCCTGGGTGAAGAGCTGGGTGCCTGAAGTGGGACGGGCAAAGAGGGGAAGCTCTGGCCCCGTCCCGTCCTCCACTTTTAATGAGCTCTCCGATCATGCAGGAGTAAAAGTCCAGGTGGAACATTTCAGCGCTCGCTCACACGCCTGCTGGTCCTAATTTGCTTTTTCAATGAACGCGTAAAAGGAAAAGTGCGCAGGGAATTACTTTACGCCTACAGGACTATTTTATCTTCCCAGGTAAGTTAACCTTTAATGCTTTAAGGAGATGAGGACTTTTAACACAAAGCTTCAATTAGTTTCCATATGAACAGGGGAGTTTGTGTTTGCTGCGTGGTGTGAATTAATTATCCATTTCAAAATGGAATCGCGCGTAATTGATATGCATTGCGTCCAATGACATCTTGTGTTTTGATAATCAAGTCTGTAAGGAATGTTAAACAACACCACACGGATTACTTGCGTATTTAGGTCATCCTTTTTTTGAAAAACAATTTATGACTCTGTTCAGCCGGGCTTGTGGGGTTTGACAGGCTGCCCAAGTGTGCTTAAAGTCAGTGCTTGTTACTCTCTGTTTATTTGCCTTTTTTTAGTAAACACCCCTTCCTCTTTACTCAAGTGGGGTTTTTAGCCGAATGAATTCAGCCATTTCATGGTCATTCATACTAGCCTACTATAAAATATGTGTAAAATGATCCAGCTATTATGTATTTACATTTCTATCCGGCTGGCCCAAGCCTTTATTTTGAAATGACTCATTTTGCAAGTATTATAATCAACAAACCCCAAGAGTGCGCTCTTCGGATTTTTATTTCTTGCACATTATGTTTGACATTTCTCTTTGTATTCCTTCTGACATGTCTGATTAAGCACAGGTGGTCTTTATACAACATGTCCAGCAGCAGACAGGCTGTGGCTTGCACTCAAGCCTGTGCCAAGAATTAAAGTAATTCAGCCTGTTCTGTGCTTAATAAACAAATACTGTCCCAGCAGCAGCACAAAAGTCCACAGAGATGACTTTGTAGAGACATGTTGGCTTTCCCCTGTGTCTGATCTCTCATATGGTTAGTTGGCTTGTTGCTACAACACTTGGCACACCTAATATGCTTACAGTACACTTTTGACACCTGTGAATGCTGGGATTTAACACTCCCTGGCACTAGGTGTGTGTAAATACTGTCTCATGCCATCACTCAGAAATACTGTGAAACCAAATTGTTGGTGGGTTATGATACTCAAATAAGCCCCAGTCCCCTTTTTGCCTTCAGACTGGCCAACACAGGTTGGGAGTGCTGCTGAAACAGGAACAGATTTAAATACAGTCCATGTGTTTGGCATGGAGCTGTGCATTATCAGGGCTTATCAAAAACACTTTTAAGACATGTGTGTGGTCTGCCCAAGCTTTGAGAACCCATTGTGAGCTGACGTTTTTAATGGCTACCGTACATCCTGTTTGCATTAAAGCCATTGTATACCTGTTATACAGCTGCCAGGTTTTCATCCTGCATCATTATTTGCCTGCAGGAGCTGAAAATGCAATTTTCACTGCAACGGCTTGGCCTTGTAATCTTAGTGTTTTCTGCATGTAATCCACATTGTAGAATATTATTTTGCAGTGAATTGCACTTTAATTCCTCAAAATATGTGACCCGTCTGAGCTCCTGGGTTTGAAAGGGACTGAGGCCCCTAGAGAGAAGCTTTCATCTCTTGCAGTGTCTTGGAAAATTACTTTGCTTACTTTTTGGATGGCTTCTCATAGTTTGTTTGATTTGTGTCCCCGCCTAGCACAAAGGAAATCTGCAGTAGATCTGTTTAGTGAAAGGCCAGCAGAAGCTGTGCTCAACCAACGCCTTATCTGAAGTTCAGGACAGGTGTATGCAAGATATACAACGACAGATACGACACAATAACCCACCCTGTTGGTGATTTATGGGGGTGGTAAGCGGTGGTCTGAAAGCCCTCACATGCAGTCTCCAAAGCTTTCTGAGCATGTGATAAGTTATCACAGATCTCGTCCTGTATTAGTTGTTTTTATCCTTTAGGTGAACTTGTGTGTGTGTGTGTGTGTGTGTGTGTGTGTGTGTGTGTGTGTGTGTGTGTGTGTGTGTGTGTGTGTGTGTGTGTGTGTGTGTGTGTGTGTGTGTGTGTGTGTGTGTGTGTGTGTGTGTGTGTGTGTGTGTGTGTGTGTGTGTGTGTGTGAGATTGTGTCTCCCCAGGATCTATTATCTACTGTACAGGAAACTCCCTGCGGTGTTTGTCAAAGGATATCATTTGCCCCACGTTTCACTGTTTGGAGAAGGAGGCATTTAGAGGCTCACACTGAGAACACACATTAAGAGGTCTCAAATCATTGTCGTTTTTTCATTTTGTCCTACAATGATGTCATCAAAGGACTTTTCAAAGGAACAAGTCCCTGAACAGAAGTCTTCTTTAGGAGCAGCTCTACATTGGGGAAGAGGTGTTGACGGTCTAGGTTTCGGCGCAGGTGTATGACAGACCAGTTTTGTATTTTTCATTTTCCAGTGAAGCGCGCTGACTCACCTCTAACATGCTGCAGGTCTGTCTCCTTAACTGTAGATGAAGCATATCTGTCCCAGCTTGTTCCCGGCTTCAGCAATCTTTCCCCGCGAGGACAAATTGTAGTCCTGACTGTGCAGCAAGGTTCCATCTGCCTGTCAAAGCACAACACTCTGGAAAAATCATGTCAGTGCTCATGAATGTCAGATAAAAATGTAGAGCTGCATCAGGGAAATTCCTATCACTGCCAACCGCAAGCTGGATTCATTTTAACTTAACATGATATGTTATGTTACCTCATTACACTGCTCACTCATGTTTACTTCAAACCAATTAAATGAAAATCCAGAACTAAATGCGTTTGGGCGACAGTTGGTGATTCCAGCTCGAGTTTTGAATGTATTTTTGAATATTTATGGAAATGCACTTATTCACTTTCTTGCAGAGAGTAAGATAAAGAGATTAATATTAAGCTGAGTTACAGCTACAGTTACAATAGTAAAAGCAGCCAACAGCTAACCTGGCTGCGTCTAAAGGTTATAAATCATAAAGGTTAATACATTTGAAAGAAACGTGTTTTAATTATTATACAAAGTGTAAACCCAACATGTTGTAGTATTATGAGGGTTACATCGCAGAATTTCTTGGCTAGAAATTGTGAATTCCTGAGGTCCTGTAGTTTGCAGTAAGTCAAGGGTAAACTCTAGTCCCTCTCATCTTTATCTCTTTATCCTTGTCCTATGTTAAAATAAAACCGGTCTACATTTGTTGGCACATGGCTAATTAAAATGCAGAATGACGTCACTTGACCTGCCTAATGCTTTTTATGGCAAAAGCATGAACCAAACAAACTCTGCCTCTGATTGGCTACTACTTCTTGGCTTAGTTATTTGTGCTAGTTACATTTGGGTATGAGGACGAAGATTAGTTAGGATTAGAGTAAAAATATCAGTATGCCAATTTAAAGCAGAGTAGGGTGCGGA